TGAGGGGCCGCACGCACCCAGCTGACAGGCAGCCCTGCCCCACGGTGGGCCCTACACCCTGGCATGGGGGGCTGAAGGCACCGCTCAGTGCGGGGGAGGGAGGCAGGGCAGGAAGGGGGCTGGAATTCTTGCCTGGGCCACGCGTTAGTTGCCACCAGGAGGGGCCCAGGGAGGCCGTGCCAATGGGCGGGACCCTGCGGCCGGCCCCCAGGGAGGTGGGGGGGGTCTGGTGCGGGGGAGCCGCGGGACGCCTGGGTGCTCCCCAGGAAGGAAGTGGGGGCTCGCCGTGAGCTGGGGCGCCAGACTGCCAGGAAGTGCCTGTCCCCAGCTGCCCTTTGTGCTGCCGAAATGACTCAGGCGATGCAACCACAAGCCCCTTTGGTTTGTTCGCTGCCCAAAAAGCGGTCTGGTTTATTGAAAATAAAGGTTGTCCCCATGGCGACAGAAAGCAAGGCAACAGCAGCACCTTCGTTCCAGCTCAGGACGCCCCTGCCCCCCGCAGTGCGGCTGAGCCCCTCTCACGGGGTGCCAGCCCTGGGTAGGGGCACCCCTGCCACCCATCTCTTGGGGAAGGACCACCAATGGCGCAAAACCATTGCGCACCCCCCACACCTTGATGGAATGGTTTGGTCTGTTCTCCCCTGCTTTGGAGTGGTTTGATCCATTCCTCCCCCTCCTCCAGCACCGAGGAATGGGTGGGTCTGTGGAATGTGTCCATTCCGCCCCCTCCCTCCGCACAGAATAGATCAGTCCACATGCGTCTGGACGGATTGGTCCATAAAATGGCTTGGCCCTTCACTTACACCCCCCCCCGCCCAATGGATCAGCCTGTGCGAGTTTTACCGGAACATTTGTCCTCCTTTTGATGCAATGGAACAGCCCATTTCACCCTCCCGCTGCCCATGGAGTGGATCAAGCTACATGTGATGGCTCCCCCCTCCTGGATGGAATGGGTCAGTCCATGTGTGTCTCTGTGGAGTGTGTAGGCGGCAATGGAGGGGGGCAGTACCATTGCAATCTTGCCATGAGGGGTGTATGCAAAATTGCCAACAGTGGGCAACACCATTGCCAATTACCGAGGGTTACAAATGGACAGTACCATTGCACAGACAGGGGGAGGAAGAAGGTACCAGCAGAGTGGAAACAGCCGGGGCAGATTATGAAGAGGGAAAGGGGACATTGGAAAGTTCCATTCAGTAAATAGCTCGGATGGGGGGAGTGAATGGAAGGTACCATTGTACAGCCCAGAGGGGGGACAGGAGAAGATGGTAGGAGAATGGCCGCTACCACTGTACAGGCCAGATGGAGGGGTGTTTGGAGAATTGAAGACACTATTGAATTGCTGGGGTGGGAGGTGATAGACTAGACAGTACCACTAGACAGATGGGAGGGTGAACAAGAGTGGAAGGTACCACTACTTAACTGACCCCCTAGGTGAAGGGGTGGAGAGGAGAATGGAAGGTACCATTGCACATCCAGATAGGGGGTGGAGGTACTCTCCCAGGCACTGAGAACATAGGGCAATGGCCAGGGCTGGACTAGGTCCTCCGCTTCACCTCCCCACCTATGCCCTGCCCTAGGCTGCCTCCTTCATCATCCTCCCCCTCAGCCATGCAGACACCCCTCAGGGCCCGTGAGAGGCGCTCCTTGCTGGGCACCAGCCAGGGCCCAGGGGCTGGGTCCGAAAGGCCCCTCCAGATCCGCTCCCTCTGTGGGGAGAGGGACCCGGTCTCTCCCTTCCCAGCCTCCACCTCCTTCCCTGGTGCTGGCCAGCCCTGCTCTGTGCCCCGACGCTCCAGGGATTCACGCTGGTGGCAGCGGTGGGATCCTCGCTTGGCACTGACAGGAGAAGCCTCCAGGCAGCCTGCATTGTCCTGTTCCCAGTGCGGAGACCCCTCAGTTGGGTCTGCTCTCCTGCCACATGGTGCCGGTCCGCCCTCTGGCATCTGGTCCCGCCCGGTGGGGCTGGGGATGTGCTCACGGTCTGGAGAGATAAGGGGATGGGGGAGAGGTGATCAGGCCCAGAGAACATAGTGAAAGACCCTCCCTGTTCCCCCTCAAAGTTACCCAGGGAGAGCTCCCTTGGTGGTCCCACCCCGTGGGATCAAATCTATGTTTTCAGGGGGGGGGGTTACCCCTACGTTCAGATGGTTTGGCTAAACAGTGAGGGTCTTGCAAAGCTCTAGGGATTGTTGGCGGGAGGGGATCTCTGCAGGGTCCGGGGGGTTGGTGATAGGAGGGTGGGGGCGATCTGTGGGGTACAGCAGGGTCAGGGGTCTATAGCTGAGTGTTTGCCTCTGGGTGTGTGTGTGGGGGGGGGGGGCGGGGATTGGCCCGC